GCAGCCCGCCTTGAGGCAGCAATTATGAAATGTGAGGTGACACGTACTTTAGCTAAAGCAATGAGAACTTGGAAAGAAATAAAACCTGTTACTCACAGGAGGAATTTGAGGGGCCTTGTGAGGGTTATGAGGACCCAGATGTGGGTTGATTTGATATAGGCAGGAGTAGATGGAAGGAAATTAGATGGGAAGCAAAATAGGATCTTACTAGAGCTATGGCAACAACTGAAACCAGAGCAGCAGTTCCAGCCATTAAGACCGAAGAGGCAGAGGTCAGAGACAGAGCCACGCGTCGGGCCTGTGTGTCTGCAAGACTTTTTGCTGGAGAGACTGGAGAACAATGTTCGAGCTTCCTTGCACAGGGACCTTTGCAGAGGACTAAGGGCCCATAGACTGAGAGGAGAGAATCCTGGAGAGGTGGAGTGTGAATAAAAAGAGTTCCTGTGGCCAGGCTGTGGTTGACTAGCTCACTGCACACCTGTGGGCAATACATGGCTGTTGACTCTATATAAAGAGCTCTGCCCAGTGCTCTGGGAACGACATGGTGGCAGGGCTGTAAGGCTGCAGGAGAGCAGAGCAGAGGCTGGAGTGGTGGCAGCGCCGAGGACAGAGGCCCAGAGGATGGTTGTGTGGGACGACTGTGCAGAGAGGCCCAGAGGACGGCTGTGCGGACAAAGGGGCCCAGAGGCAGAGACTGGCTTGCTGCATACAGACTTGCTCTGAGTGAATGGGATTCTAATGACTGACCTGCCACCTGGAAATAAAGTTGGGTATAACCCTTTCACCGCCAAGAACGTTTTGCTGTCATTTCCTTTGGTTCCATTGAAACCATAGTGAACTTGCCCAGGGCTGAAACCCATTGGCAAGACATTTCAGCATCTGAATTTTATTCTTGCCTGAGGAAAGTCAAAGGGTTAAATAAATCATTTACATAAAAACTGTCAGTAAAAAAGTACTTCTGTGTTAGTTTGCAGACTTCATTTGTGGATGGTAGAAAATCCAACAAAAACTAGTATGAATTAAATGGGAAATGTAGTACAAATCCTCTGCTTCTGGAGTCCACATCCCACTTCGGGTAGCTTAGACCAGCTTTCCCATGTGTGTCCCACTTGGGCCCAGATGTGCACCCCTGAACTTAACTGGTGTGTTTATGGGAAGAAATCATGGTCCCCAAATAGAGAGGATATTACTGAAATGATAAAAGTGTGAGATTCAGATTCAGCCAAAGAAAAACTGGTTTATACTTACATAGTTTCTCTTAAGGAAGAGCTAATCATTAGAATATACTGCTCTCAACGTTTTTAGATGGATGAAAATTGCTGTCTATTCTTCTGAGAATTAGTACACTCAAGTATGTGATGCTAAGTAAGCTTTTTCTTTTTTTTTCTTGAAAACTTCATAGATTAACTAAGGAAAGGGTCCAGTTGTCTACTAAAATATTTATCATCTGAACAAGAAGTACTCAGTAACGAAGAATATAGTGTTTTGGGAAGGGGAGATGCTTCCTTGTAAACATGATGTGTGTTTGAATTAGCCCCTTACAATAATGAGCCAGTTTTATTCAGAATACAGTGAAGTTAAAATCCTATAGTTAGGACCCTCTTCAGCATCACACAGAAATATCTAGGAACATTGCTGTGTCTCACTGAGTTAGAAGGTAACATAGTAATTATTTCCTGCTGATAGTGGGTGTAACAAACATAACATTTCAAAAAAAACCAATGTTAACTTCTGTTTAATAATACCATAATTGTTTATATAGTTGTCTTAGTTTGGGCTACTACAACAAAAACTATAGACTGGGTGGCTTAAACAAGATACTTCCTTTTCTCATTTCTTGAGGCAGAGAGGTCTAAGATCAAGCCCCCAGCAGATCCATTGTCTGGTAAGGGCCTGCTTCTTGGGTTGAGACAGACATCTTGCTTTATCCCCACATGGCCAAGAGAGAAATCTTCTCCCTGCTGCTGCTGCTGCTTATAAGGCCTCTAGTCTCATTCATGGAGACTCCACTCACATGACCTGACTACCTCCCAAAGGCACCTGCTCCAAATACCATCATGTTGGGGATTAAACATCAACATAAGAATTTGGGAGAGGACACTAAACATTCAGTCCATATCAATAGTCTAAATGACTGCTGCAGTGTCTCTCAACCAGGTACCGTTGAGCACTGGTCCAGCCTAGAAGCAGGACTGTAACCAATTTACCTTGACTGAAGTGCTTGGACTTCTACCTCTACAGTAACCTTATTGGCATCATTTAACATCACATGGTGAGCTCGTTCATCCTGATGGTTGCATCCTTGCTGCAGTTTAGTCCCATGATGGTATCTGAATCATGACACCATGTGGGGATGAGTGAGGGAGAAAGCTGAAATAGGCCATTGGTTTCAGGAGGTTAGGTTCTCCTCCTCCTCCTTCGGAAGCTACTGTGGCTGTACTGAACAGTCAGGGCACACTCAGTGCGGGGTAGTGGGACACAGGTTGCTGTGTCAGGCAGAGGCAGAAAGCTAGAATTAAGGTCAGGTTATGAAGGCAGGTTCAGGGGCCTAGAACAGGTGAGAGTCTTAGGGAGATAAGCAGATTGGAGTCTGACGTGGCCTGAGAAGGTCACTAACCTTGTGTGCTGAGGCTGTGCTGTGTAGGAGCGGCCTCCTCAACCTGACATTGACTAGCAGGCTCACGTGATAGTCAGTCTGCTTTCTGTCAAGCCCAGGTTAGCACACACAGATACCCACAGGGCCAAATAGGTACTGAAAAGGAGTGAATCTGGCTTGATACCATACAGGGGAAATGGTGAGAACTGTAGTAAACCAGCGAGTGTGTGCTTCAGTGAAGGCAGCAGCTGTTATTCAGCTACAGAGTTGTTTCCCTGTGAGAGTATGAGCTTCATGTTGCCAGATAATGCAGACGTTATTAACAGGAGTCCAGAATCTCAGGGTTTTATTTTTTAATATGAAAAATGTCTGCTTTTGAAATGACCACAATGGGTAAATATTTTTTTAAAACCCTGTAGGCTAAACAGAATATGTCTGTATGTTGGCCATGGCAGTCTGATAGCCTGGTGGGTTGCAGAAGGGTGTTCTGAAGAGCATCTCAGGTAGATAAGGTACACCTCACCATAGCACAGGGTGATCACTGATTGCTGGAATATGACAGCAGTAGATGGATTGATACCATGGTTCAGACACTGAATCTGAACTAGGGAACCATTCTGTATTAGTTAGGGTTCTTCATAGAAATAGAACTGATAGGATGTACAGTAGAGGAGATTTATTGTAAGAATGGGTTCATATTCTTATAGAGGCTGAAAAGTACCACAGAATACCATCTGTCTAAGAGAACCAGGGGGTCTGGTGATATAATTCAGTCCAAGGCCTGAGAACAGGGCAAGTACAGGGCATGGAGTCTGAAGGCCAGAGAACTGGGAGTTCTGATGTTCAAGGGCAGAGGTGGACATCCCAGCTCGAGGGTGCAGAATTCACCCTTACTCAGCCTTTTTGTTCTGTTTGGGCTCTCTGGGATTGGGTGACGCTCACCCCAGTAGGTGTTGGTGGGTCCTCTTTAGTGTACTGATTCAAATACTGATCTCTTGAAACACCCTCACAGACACACCCAGAAATGTTTTACCACATATTGAGGCATCTCCTAGCCCTGTCAAATTGACACATAGAATTAACCATCACACACTGTGTTCATAAGGCTGCTAACTTTGTGACTGGAGGCCCTAACTGAAATGCCTACTTAATAGAGCACAGTGGAGGCCTAGATTTCAGGTATTCCAGAGCATAGAAAGTATATTTTAAAATTATCTCCTAAGGTGTTGTGTTCTCAGGTTTTTCATTGTGGTGTACAACACATCAGGATCCTATTGGATGCTTGCTGGACACTTGTCCACCTTGATTGCTGTCATACTGCATAAGTGATAGAGATCCATCTGAAGTGGCTTGGTTCCCTGAGATAACTTAAGGAGTCTATGGAACCAAGGTAAATTCGGGAGGATTGCATCTGTTTTGTGTAGCCTTGTCTAGGGAAACTCAGAAAAGTGAGCAAGAAGTTCCAAGTGCCTCAGGGTTGGTGTCACTTAACACCGAATGATCCCAGTTAATTTTAAGTCAGTGGTTCACAACCTGGGGTGCACTGATACCTTGCCCCACCTCAGGTCAGGGAAATTGGAATCTCTGAAAGTGAGGCCCAAGTGCCCTTATATTTTAAGAGTTCCCCAGGCACTTCTCATGTGCAGCCAGGGTTAAGAACTCCTGCTGTGAGTAGAAGCTAAGGATTTCTGCTTGGGTTTCGTAAGCTCAGATGTGAATGGGTTTGTCAGCACAATGATGTCGTGAACTGCAGCCTCCTCGGGGCATCTAGCCTCACAGCAAGCACTGGCAGCCATGCGGGTGGGACTGAGGGAAGAGAGCTAATTGAAGAATGTTTGTAGGAACCGGACTAGGGGCTTCACATACATTATCTTCTTTTATGTTCTCAATAACCCTGTGAGGTAAATGTTGCTCCTCCTGTTTTGTTTTGTTTTTAGATAGATAAGGACTCTAGAGGCTCCATTGTAGCACTTTGTGGAAGTGGAATTTGGATGCAGAGCTCCCTGACTCCAAAGTCAGTGATCATATTGCAACATTAAAACTCTGTATGACTACGTTATTTTAACTTCAGCGGTCAAAAGGGGAAGTCCAGACTCCTAGGTCTGTCGTAAAGTAAGAGGAATAGGTGGGTTTGAGGAAAGACCCTAACCTGAAGGCTGCAGCGGTCTGTGTTCCGGTAGAAGTCTGTCTGGGAGCTTTTCAGAGGTGAGATGCAGGTGGGCTCTGTGAACCCTGAAATAGTTGGGCAAAGGAGAAAGGTGTTGTGGATGCTGCTGAATCAGAGAAAGTGGAAGACGCAGTGCCAGCATTCTGGGGACAGCACCAAGGAGAGAGAAAAGGGTCAGGAAGAAGAGGAGTCGACTGGTGAAAATGGGAAAGAAGTGAAAGAAGGAGGCGTCGGCATCGGGGGTATAGCCTTTTGTGGTTTTGAATTCTGAGTTAAGACAGCTAGAAATATGAAACTGTGCTGATCTGCAGTGATGCTGAAACTCCTGACACTGCAGGAAAGTTTAATTGTATTAATATGTGAAATCACTTTGTTTTAACTCGAGTGAGGCAGTCAGGCAGGCTGGGGAATGGAAATGCATGCCACTGGAGAAGTCGGAGGCTGAGGTGGAAAATGGGATCCAGGCTCTTCTCTTTCCTTGATTTACACTGTAGAGTGTTATTCAGGGGAGTCTTAATATGACGCAGCAGATGACAGGAGGAGAACCTTGGCCTGGGATAACAGCTTACCCCTGTCCAGTGTCCTGAACTGCTTATACCAACTACAACAGCGTGCCCAGAATGGGCTGGGCTTGCTTCTTGAGTGCAGTACTGGGCAGTGTCCCAAAGGGTTGATTTTGACTTCAAGCGGTAGTTGAGTCTGTAGAGGATAAGACAAGCAAAAAAGAAAAATACAAGGATAATCATTGTCCTCAAATACTTTATAGTTGACCAAATATGGTTAACAAACATTAAATAAAAAATAGTTAAGCATGAATTTGTATACTACATATACAGTAGGCCTTTAAAAGTATAAACATTGTTATGGATTGGAATGGTTAGTAGAGAAACCTTGGTGACTCAGTTTAGGTAGAAACTAGACCTCTGGAGAGAGAAAGCTTTTGATGACTGGCCAGGGAAGAGCGACAGTTCAGGTGTGGATGATATGATGGTGATTAGTGGTGGGACTCTCTGGGCATTACTAGATTTAGGAAGCAGGTAATCATCTAGGCTGGAAGAGAGACACAAAGCTGGAAAGATGAGTTGAAAAGATCTTGAATGCTTGGAGAATGATTTCAGCCATCCTGAAGCAGGTGGCCTTAATCTCCTTATACCTGGGTTATCATGATAATAGCTTCCTATTTTATTTCCTTGGCCTTGTTCCCTCCCATGCCCAACCTCTCTGCTGTATTACTTCTAGAGGAGTCCACTTTCATCCTCTCTTGAAATAAATGGCTTCCTCTTGGATCCTGCTTCCAGAGCCTACCCATACATGCAGTGCTATTTTACAGTTTCCCAACCTACACGGTCAATCTGAAGTGGCGGCTCTTCATCCTTCCTGCTGGTACTGTGAGAATTCCCAGTGCTGTCACTCTGCTCGTGCTCTCCCTCAGCTCTGAAGCCCCTACTCTTTCATGTTTTCCTAGAGAATTTACTTAATTGACATCAGAAAAAAGTGAAGCCTAAAGCAGTTCACGTTATTTGCCCAAGACCGTAGGTGTTTATTTGGAGCTGTTGACAGACTATCTAGTCTGTGGTATTGACAGCTGGGACTAGAGAGGAGCCAAGAAACCAAGGTGGAGAAGGGGATCGGGAACATAAAGTCAACCTTTTGAAGGAGGAAATGTAATATACATCTATGGGAAAGCCAAGGCCTGAACTTGGAGGGTCCAGTGGGAAAGAATTGTCACCTAGATAGAAGTACTACAGGAGCCCAGAGTTGTATAAGCCAGAGGTTTTAAAATGTTAATGAGGAAGGGAATGCTCAAATGCCATTGAATGAGCAAGAATAGACATAAGAAGAGACATTTGATTTGGCTAGGGCCAAGGGATGGTGAGAGTAGAGAACACCTCAGTATCGTGGTCAGGGTAGAGACCAGATTGTTGGTGTTAATGAGAAAGTGACTGAGTAGGAAATGACAAAATGAGCTGTGGAAATGGGATAGAAATTTGAAAAACTGAAAAAAAAAAAAAAGGAAAATTGTTAAGAAGAAACAACTGAAATGAAAGCATGCTGGCCAAAAGAATCAGAGAGAAGACTTTTTAAGAAATAATTTTAATTCATGATAGACTTGAGTGTAGTAATCTTATTGATGCTCTCTCTTTGAAAAGCTTAATGGAAATGTTGCTGGGAAAACCCATTTCAAGCGGGTCCTAGCATTCTTTCATATAGTTAGAGAAAATAGGTAATAAGCATGAATGTTAAAAAAAGGTATGTGTATGACTTGTCATTGAAGATTGAGTATAGTAAATTTGCAGTTTTAAAATTTCTCATTCTTCTTACCTTTCCTTAAGAACGGAAGGATTTTGAATTCTGTGCACCAAAAAGAAGAGAAGTAGGCTGATTAATCTCCCTGGAATTTTTTTTATTTTTTGGATGAATTCTTACATTGTCCTCTATCACTTGGAATTCTTTGAAAGCCCATTTAACTTTAATGTATTGGCTAGGAAGTAAACTGATATATTCCCCCAAATATTTTCTTTATTTAAAATCCTACAAGTTTGTTAGGGTCATATGTATTGATTATAGTTGTTTCTCAGCAAGCATAAGATAGCAAACATTTAAAAAGTCTTCTGATACTAGCAAATGACTGTAAATTCAAAGACTGACCTCACAAAGATTCTCTAAACCACAGATTAAATGATGTCTCAGAATCTGAGACCTTTTAGTGTAGGGAATTTTGTGTGTCCAATAAAATCATGCTTAATAAGCAGCTTTTAGAAATAAAGACTGCTTTAGCTCACTCTTGTGAAATCTGGTTTTAAAGCAAAATAGTTGTCTGGTATTTGAAAGCCCATAAAGAATTCACAGGGAACCCTCATCTTATCTTAAAGCAAATAGTTTCTGTCTAATGAAATAGGAGTGGGCATACTTTTATAAAAATAGGAATGTGTACCTAGAAGAAAGTGCCATCAAAGGAGGGTGTTGTTGATTCTGTAATAAGTTTGATTTATCATTGCTAAATTTGAGTCAAAATTTGCATTTGAGACTTAATCACAAAGAAAGTAATGAGATGGTCTGAAAACTCACTCTGCAGGAAACTTCTCTTTATTCCTTCACTAAGTAGAGGGCCCATGGCTTCTTCCCCTTCACTGCCCTCATCCCACCTCCTGTCTCTAGAGAGAGAAGGAGGGCTTAGAGAAAACACACCCCAGCTCAGGCACCCCAGTGTCTTCTCAAAAGGGTGAGATAGTAAATTTAGACTTGCAGGCTATGTGGTCTCTGTCACAACTACTCAACTCTGCTGTCACAACCTGAAAACAGCTACAGACAGTATGTGGATTAACAAGTGTGGCTAGGTTTCAGTAAAACTTTATTTGCAAAAACAGGCATTGGGCTGGATTTGACCTGTGGGGAGTTGTTTGACCATCCCTTTTCTAGACTATTTCTTCACAAAGGACCTGAGCTATCATAGAAAGAAAGATAAGCAGAGGGATTTTGTTCAGTGAGTATGGATGGTTTTTAATGCCATAGTCTTAGTTTATATTTTACTAACACCTTCAGTGTGGTTGACCTTTCCTCTCTCTTTTTCTTCCTTTACTCTATCTTCTCTCTCATTTTAAAATAGTCTATTAATAACATATAATTTACTAGATTATCTTCCAAGTCTTAGTTTCCCTAATTTAAAATGTGGTCAGGCTATGCATACCACACTGGATTGCTGGGGATACTAATGAGATAATAAATAGGATATGGTACTTAGTACACCTCTGAACTTGTAGATGCAGAATAGTTTGATTTTATTGAGTCATTTAGTTTGCATTTCAAAATGTTAAATTTGTGGGCTTGGAAGAAAGTATTTCATTGAAATTAAGATAGACTTTTATGTACTATTTCTCTTTTCCTTTTTCCTGGTTTTCCTCATTTAGAATTCAAATGGCAAATTTCACTTGCTCCAGATTTCCAGATTTAATGATGGTGATTCTGACGATAGTATATTTTCCTATTCTAAATGAAGAACAGTTCCAGGTAGTTTCTGTGAACTGTCTGCTCTGGTTTTTCTGTTGTTTTAATTTGCTTTAATTTTTTATGGTCTGCTTTTATGTAACTGTATCTCAAGCGATTACCAGTTGACCTGCTTTGCTACCCTGTCCCTGTATATAGTGACAGTCCTTCAAGTACAATCTGTTCCACTCCCGAGCATACTTTAGTAACATGAATTAGTCCATACATGATTGGCAAAAGGGAGAGGGATGTCAATATAATGCAAAAGTTGCCATGGTTTCTAGTTGATTTTCTTTGCACATTAATATTTTGACCACTAAATAATAGCAACTGAATATAAACTGTACTAATATGGATGAACGTAACAAACTGGGGAGGTATATTGTATTGTACACAATGCCTATTCACTCCATACTCTTCTGCTTGGCTCAGTTTGCCATACACTCTGTATTTAAGTATTTATTGCATGTTCTCTCCCTATCTTTGTGGGAAAGAAACCAACATAAGACAGCGAGCCAGAGCAATCCCTCTGGCATCATTACATTTTGTATAAAACCTGCTTCTCCACTGTAATTTCTGATGCTAATGTCCCTCAACTCTTTTCCATATCTCAGAAGTTTAAGTCTTTCTTTGTAGCTCCTTCCACTAAGTTATCTTTTCCTTTTTAAAAGGTTTATATTTACTATAATAATTATTTATTAGAATATACATGTCACTTTAAGTTTGTTAGTATTTTTACTGGAATTACTTAGGTTTTTGTTAATTCTGTGGTTACAAAGTTGTATAAGATCTGGCCTAACCATTTCTTTTTTTCATAAGCCTCTCATTCTTAATGTGTAATTTACTTGAATGCAATTTCTTTGAAAAGAATGCCTGTCTCACATTATAACATTACAGCATTCTTCCCATTATATATCAGACATTTGTATTTTCAAACAACTAGAGAGTCTCTTCTTTCATAAGCTAGGCATCCTTGGTCTTTTACATTTTCAATATATGTCATAAATTATAAATTCCTTCTCTATCCTCATACTTTTCTCCTCAGGAAGTATTCCATATTGCCAGTGTCTCTCTTAAACTGTAGTACCCAGAAATAAGCATGAAATTTCAGATAGGACTGATCAGTTCATTAGAATTCTGAACTTTACCATTAATTAGTATTTTTTGAACTTGTAAAAAAACCAAACCTTACTGTCTTATTAATCCTGTTTTGTGCAGGTTTTTTTTGTTTTCTTGTTTTTGGTATCATTAATATACAATTACATGAACAACACTGTGTTATGCATACCACACTGGATTGCTGGGGATACTAATGAGATAATAAATAGGATATGGTACTTAGTACACCTCTGAACTTGTAGATGCAGAATAGTTTGATTTTATTGAGTCATTTAGTTTGCATTTCAAAATGTTAAATTTGTGGGCTTGGAAGAAAGTATTTCATTGAAATTAAGATAGACTTTTATGTACTATTTCTCTTTTCCTTTTTCCTGGTTTTCCTCATTTAGAATTCAAATGGCAAATTTCACTTGCTCCAGATTTCCAGATTTAATGATGGTGATTCTGACGATAGTATATTTTCCTATTCTAAATGAAGAACAGTTCCAGGTAGTTTCTGTGAACTGTCTGCTCTGGTTTTTCTGTTGTTTTAATTTGCTTTAATTTTTTATGGTCTGCTTTTATGTAACTGTATCTCAAGCGATTACCAGTTGACC